ATAAATAAAGAAGAAAATTACTATAAAAATCTGACATAAACTAATAAGTTAAAAAATAATTGATATTATTTGATTTATATCTGTAATTGATATAAATCATATCTCACATTTAGAATATTTTTATATCAATTATAGTATTTATAAATAAATATTTATTTCTTTATTTCAACATATATATATATATATATATATATATATATGCACATACATAGTGTGTTTAACGAATATCAGAAAAAGTGTCAAGATATGTCGTAATGTAGCATGCAAGTGAGAAAGGTCCTCTATTACCTTTCGGCGTATGATAAGCTTTCGTTAGAGACTTATTATTTTAGGGTTTCGTACTTAGTAATTTATCATAATTTTTTTTCACATAATTGTCTCATATATATATATATATATACATATATATATATATATAATTGGTTAGGAATTAGGATGTGGATGACGTGCGATTAGAAAACTTTAACCCACAAATTTCAACCAACTTGTTTTATTTTCTCATTACGCGCTCCTTGTCAAATGCATTCCCTTATAAATTACTAATTTCACACCTTCATTTTTTCTTAATAGAGAAATCCATCATACAAAGTATAACATTCAAACCCAAATTTCGGGTTTCAACATGATCCCAAAATTCGGATTTTAAACTTTGGTTCGTATTTGTATACGTAACCATTCATTACAATGAATCGATATCAGACGGTTCACATATGCACATAGACATACATATTTTTTCTTATTTCATTTCCTCAAGTCGGCTTGTATAAAAATTCTGATGTTATTTATAATCTTTTTCTTCTTCTTCTTGTTTCATGTAATGATTTCAACGTCAAATTATCTATTTCTCGGCATGTTAAAATTCTCGTACGCACTCCCTCCCCTCCTATTCCTCTGCCCGTTTCGAAGGGAAAATGTGTCCTCGAAGGGGCACTACTTGGCATCTGTGGACATAAAAAAGACCCTCACGAGAGACCAGATCTAAGCAAATCCCTAAACAGATGTCCTAATCCGTGGTTATTGTACTAATTTCCTCTTCGTTTTCAAGGCGTTTACCTAAAAACCAAACAACCCTCTTTTGGACCAAACTCCAGTACTCTCGATCTCACTTTTACTCTCTCGGGATCGGGGTTGTGTTTATAATCACTATATCTAATCCCCTTGTTTGTATAAATCCCGTAACCTTTTATCCCAAGCAACGCTTTTCCCCAAGCAACTCCTAAGAAGTGTTTTCACTCACACTTTGTCCATTAATTAGTGCTAAGCCGTTTGCTAATTGGAGTTCTTGATTTCGAAATATACAATTCGAATCCTTCCTTCTTAGATTCAAAAATTGGACGGAATTCTGTTTAATTACCCTATAACAAAATTAATTAAACCGAATTTGTAATTTTTTATCGGATTTATAACTTCGCATATATATATATATATATATATATATATATATAGTTATTTAGTTTCAAGAATTAAGAGGCAAATAGAGCACGTGTAGGAAATTCCAAGTGATGAGGTTGGCCCAAGTGTTTGTAGACAAAAGAGAAACAGTCAATGCCAATCCTAAGCTTGGTTTTGGGGCGAGGGAAGAGGAGGGCATAGTTAATGGAAGAAAGCAAAACACATTAAAGCTTATGAAGGTCAACTAACTATTTTTAATTAATTCCTCATTTTTTTAATACATAAAGGTTTATATGTTTTCATTCCCCTTAAGCTACGGCATGCATAGGAAGTCCATAGAGTGCAAGAAATCGGCGCTTTATTGGACAATATATTCTTTACCAAAAAAAAAAAGTTTATATAGATATAGAGGCCGTGAAGTTTGAATATATATATATATATATATATATATATATGTGTGTGTATATATATGTATATGCATATAGTGAAACCATGGAAGACGGCTCCAATATATTCAGTGAATTGGTAATTTAATAATGAAACATATTTCGGAGATTTGGTAATTTAATAACTTGGAGTCGCATCTAGAGCGGCCACGATGGGCAGACCACAGAATTTCTGTTGCCTGAGCTATTTCCAATGAATTTAAATTATATATATATATATATATAAAGTTGTCTATACTACTTTTTTATTTATTTAAAATCTATATATTGTCAATATGTTGATTGTTATTGAAGGAAAGGGGTTATTACTTTTTGAAAGAGAAGAATGCAACTCGGTGAATTTCTAGATACATATTTGTTACTGATGGGAAACAAAACGTATAATAGTATATATTTTAAAGTTGAAAAATTTTGTTTGTCGTATATTTAAAATTTAAAATTTATTTCCAGATGACTAAACTATACCAAATATATATTCTTCAAAAATTTATAACGTCGTGTTTCAGGAGTAATTTATAAACTCGAAATTTTGATATCAAATTAAATAAATTATCTTATAACTAGTGTACTAATTAACTATGTCATGCATATTCTGTGAATGGAAATAATTGCAAAGCTCGCAATAACTATACTAATACCATTATTCTATTTATACTGTATTTTATCGACGTATAGAGTTTGTTAAAAAAATCCGGTGAACCAATAATATTTCACATCCATTATTTTTAAATTCAATTTGTTATTTTATAAAAATTAAGTTACTTAATTTTTAATTATTTTTATGTTTTTCATATTTAAATTTAATTTATACTTATATGAAGATATATGTTTTTAAACCTAATTGTCAAAACATAGTATATATAGTTTTTTATACGATATAAATTATATTATATTTTTAGTTTATAATAGATTTGTTTCATTAATTTTAGTATTATAAAAAAAAGATATCTAATAAACTATATTGTATTTTTAAGTACTTTAAGAAAAATATTACATTATCATAATGGTTTGAAGAGAGAAAATTGATAAAATTTATAAAATTTATTAAAAATTATATCATTGCAAGTTAAAGGGATTTTAAGTGGTTATATTTTGTTAATATATAATTACAATATTTTAAATTTAATAATAAAAACTATATGAGATCGGTAAACTGTAAAATATCTACAAAATTTTGGGAGAATCAATAATTTTAAAATTCTCCACAACTCTAAAAATTATTTGTAGTTAATTTTATTCGGTTTTAACGTAAAATTTTTTTGAAATTTGTAATATACTCAAATGTCACACACGATGCAATATTTAGCTAAATAGATAAATATATTATTTTGAAAATCTCTTAAGGTCTTTGTTTCTAAATCAAAGGTCATAATCAAACAATTAAAATTTTTATTCACCGATATCACTCCCCGGGCCGTTCACGAGAACCAAATAACGATAAATTTCAAAATGTTAAATAAAATATTATACATATATATATATTTTATAACAATGTATATGTCCACAGTAAATAATTACGTGCAAATGAAAGGAAATGGACCAGAAGTGATCGGTCTAGATAATGTACGTATATAGAAAGATTTGGAGCGTCATCGATCGTAACATTATAATTTGAATTTCTGGTTAGAGGATTATCTCATGTAATTTTAATTTCCATCTTCTTCGACATCTTTCATGCCTCTTTTCCTCTGTTCACATCTCTCTCTCTCTCTCTCTCTCTCTCTCCTCTGTGTTCACATCTGACCCTTCGTCATGAGAGAGAAGCTGTAAACCTAATCCCTCCTTCTTCTCTCGGTTTTTGTTCGATTTCTTTTCTCGACAATACTTTCGAATTTTTATTCGGTTTACGATTTATAAATCTAATTTAACAAAACCAATATATATATATATATAGAATTTAAATGAGATGGGTGTCTTATATCACTGGACTTTATGGCGTTTTAAATTATTAATTACTAGCATTTTCTATCATAATTATCACCACAACGGTTCGCTAATTAGTTGAAATATGTTGCATGTTTAAACGGCCTATCATATGCGTGACCTACGCACAGAGAATGATACTTTATCATAATAATATTGTAATTATATATATACATATATATGTATATATGTATATCGAGTGGCTTAAGTCAAACTTGAGACTTTTTTATGTACAAGTTATTAACCAATCCCAGTTACGTGCCATTATTGCATTTGTTTCTCCACATTTTCATTGCATTTGTCATTAATCTATCTCTTTTCTACGCCATTTAATTATCATAATATAATGTTAGTAACATGATGGATTATTATATCGTAAATTATCTATAATTTTAGACCCTAAATTCCAGGAATAATATATTACTAAAACACACACATACACAAATATATATATATATATATATGTGCGTGTATATACACACACACTACCTTCTCTGAAACGACCATATTATAATAATACAAATGTTAGGTGAAAAAAAGTACAAATTATTAATCGTAATAATTTATTTATTTTTTAAAAAGCATATATATATATATACGTATGTTATGCTCTTGTATTAAAGTTTAGATTTTAAATATTTAAAATATACCATTCTAAAAAAATATATATCTTTGTCCCTTCACTTAATAAATTGCTACTTTCACAATAAACAGTAAATCTGTTTATTAATTTTAATAATCTTAATTAAAGTATGTTATCATTTCGATTTCCTCCAAACTTCAGAGCCAATTAGGTTGAACTAAACTTACGAATCGTCCATTAAATTCCATTAAAAAAATAAAGAAAAAAAGTAGCATTGTAACCTCGTGAATATATATATATATATATATATATATATGATTGGACTAAGTCAATTCTACAATTTTTTTTTTGTAAAGAAAGAGAAAAAAAAAAGAAAAGAAATGAAATGAAATAAAATAATAGAGAATATGTTTATTTTATTTTGCATGGGAACCATAGTTTTATTCAGCCCTCAACTGTTAGCATTGACCAACAATAGCTTCATTCTAACTAGACAAGGCCATGTGTTCTGTAGGACCTCCAAACCCTCTCTCTCTCTCTCTCTCTCTCTCTCTCTCCCTCCCTCCATTTTTCCTAATTATTTAATTAATAATTATTTCATCATTCCCCAAAATTCCTCTCCATCAAATCTATTATTTAACCATTTCCTCTTCTCCTCTTCATTGCAACAACAACCACTTCCCCAAGAAACTCCTCCTCTCTGTTTGAGAAGAAACAACATAGCGTGAACCTCTGAATCGAAAAGAGTCTTCTTTGTTCCCCATCTTCTCTCCTGCGATCTCATTGGAACACCATAACACGTTTCCCTAC